TGGTCCAATGTTGGAATTATGTTTGTGAGTGCTACACCTGCTCTGGGGCAGGAAGTTTGCATACAATGTAAGGGAGGGATAGAGGCTTCTCTCTTATTCCTCCCTTTTTGCTCTTGCTGCTTTAGCTATCTTCCACTGCCATCAGCTATTGCCTTGTGCCACTCTGCCTTGGAGCCAGCCAAATATGGACTGAAACCTCCACAAACTGTGAGCTAAATAAACCTTTCCTTCCTTAATTTGGGGCGTTGGGTATTTTGTCTCAGCAACGAGAGGAAAGTAACCAAGACAGTAGCCCAGGCTGGTCTCAAACTCGCAATGATCCTCCTGACTCATCCTCTCAAGTACTGGGATTACAGGCATGCACCACTATGCCCAGCTGCAGTATATTATTGTTAGCCATCTAACTGTAGTACCTTGCATAAAGGGAAGTGCTCAATAAATATTTGTCAAATGAGTAAAAGAAATATGAGTAAAACACATATTATTTGATTTCAAAATTATTTACAAACCCTAATAACTAAATGTTGCATCTATATGTTTGTATATCTTTATGTTTGTATGTAGAAATGTTTGAAAGAATGAACAACAAAATGTTAACAAAGACTATCGTAGGAATGGAAGAGGAGTTGGAACAAAGACAAACTGGAGAATATCCTTTTTTTTCCTTATACATCTTTATTTTTGTTGTTTTTGCAGTAAATACTTGTGAAATTTGTATTTTGAGAAGAGATAACAAACATTTTTAAATGATGTTTAGGATAAACATATAGGGACAGATATAAGCAAAATATGTGCATTGAGACCCCCAAAATGTGTGAAACTAGGGGTGGTGGTGGGCAATGGGGTGGCTGAATCTAGGGTGTGTCCTGCTGGGATCAAGGATATGATGCAGGGACTGTTTCATGGTGACATGCTAGAATTAAAGCTGCCACACCCTGGGTGTGAGTGCTACCCATGCTAAGAGTGGGTAGCCTGGATAAGATATAAGGGAACAAAAGAGGATCACTGTTTGTTGCTTGCTGCCTTGCTGCCTTCTGCCTGCAATGAACTGTTTCTCCTCTGTGATGCTTCTGCCATGCCACACTGCCTTGGAGCCAGCTATCTATGAACTGAAGCCTCTACAGACTGTGAGTAAATAAAGTCAATAAATCTTTACTCCTTTAATTTTGGGTGTTGGGTATTGTGTCTAAGCAAAAAGAAAAGTAACTAAGACAACTATGAAACAACTATGTGGTGTTGCTCCCTGCACTCATAAGTGGAGGACAGAGTAGGCACATGGAAGTGGTTGGCCAATACAAAAGCAGAGAATTTTGTCTGTTTTTTTTGACAAGTTCTTGCAAAGTTGCTAATTTGCCAAGGCAGGGATCAAGCTTGTATTGTTCCTGCCACCATGTCCAGCTCAAAAGAAGTAGTTTTGAATAATGTGAAAATTGAGATAAAATGACATTTGTAATGAGTCTTCACGTCTCTGCAGCCGATGACACAAACATGCAGTGTATAGCAAGTTCTATAGAGTACCTGACATTGCTCTTAATACACAAGGGTCAGAAGAGAGAAAGGGGTGCTGGGCCAAGAAATTATGAAACACTGAATGTATCTTTAGAGAAACTGATTGTAGACCTTTCATGGGAAGATCTGTGTGACATAGAATCTATGATAACAACTACAGAGGAGAAGCAGAAAGTTCTGGTTCATCATAGATAACATATGTAACAAAGGAGATAAAAATAATGATTGGGTTGGGTGCAACAATATTCCAGTAAATTTGGAGATAAGAAGAGCTAGCTCTGTCTACAGATTTCAAGCAAAGCAATGCAACTCCTCCTTCAACCTTGAATGCTGCATTGTCTAGGGAAGAAAGGGGAACTGCAGGATGTAGAGAAATGAAATTAGTAATAAGAAAAAGGTAAACACAGGAGGCTGAGGCACAAGGACTGCCATGAGTTTGGGGCCAGCCTGGGCTACATAATGACTTCAACACTAGGTGAACTATATAGCTAGCATTGTCCCAAGAACAAACAAACAAAACAGGAAGATCCATTTTGGACCTAAAATGACCTGGATTCAAATGTAGGCTCATTAGAAATTTTGTGATCAGAAGTAAGCTACCTATGCCTCAACTATTTCATCTGTAAAATGGAAATAAGTGTCTACCTCATTAAACTGAAGGATATACGTGTAGAATATCTCATAGAAAGTGTTCAATAAATCATAACTAGGAATGATATCAAGTAGTGTTAAAGTCTATACAATGTACAAAAATGAATAATAGTGTCTTTACAATTTCAGGATAGGAAATAACTTTATAAATAACACAAAAAGCAACCTTAGATGTGCTTTGTATTAAAATTCAAATTTTCTGCAAGATAAATGATACTACAAATAAAAATAAAAAAGACTGGAAGGTTATATTTCCAATGTAAAATAAAGGAGGGGCTGGGGATTTAGCTCAGCGGCACAGTGCCTGCCTGGTAAGCGCAAAGTCGTGAGTTCGGTTCCCGGTACAGGAAAAAAAAAAAAAATGTAAAATAAAGGATTAGTACCTAGAGTATATAGAGAATTTCTGCATATAATTATAGAGAGACACAGAAACTGATTTGTTTTTAAAATAGGCAAAGGAAATTATTAGAAAAGTTTTAGAGGAGAAATCTTAAATTCATGGAAATAAAAATCAAAACAAGATAATACTTCTTATTAGTCACAGTCAGAAAAATTCTGCTAATGGAAGGTGTTCTGAAAAGATATTTTTAAAACAGGATCTTTCATAAAACTGCTAGACAAAAAACAAACTGAAACCAACAATTTGACAATAACCTGCTAAAGAAACAAATGTGCAGACCTTATGATCCAGCAATTTCACTTCTCGATACATGCTCTAAGAAAATACACACGTAAAATTTTTTAAGAATGTCTCTAGTTATACATGGAGACATGTACAAAGACAGCAATAGCAGTATACATAGCAAAATAACCAGAAATAATTTTGTCTATTAATAACTATTTGGCATAATCATGTGTTGGAAAACTATGTGCAAATTTAAAGGAAAGATAAAGATGTGTTCCTTTATGTAAGCAGAACTCCAAAACATAATTTCCTGTCTACAGTAGGAAGTAATTAAATATTTAAAAGCATCAACTAGCAAAAGTTTTTATTAAAAACTGAATTAGAGGATACACTCTAATTTGTGATAAATATTGTCTGTAAGGTGAACGAATGGGACTCTGTGAAGATAAAAGACTTTATCTGTAACTTCCATTGCCTTTATTTAAAAAGAGCTAAAAGCAAAGGGGATAAAATATTAATAATTAACAATTCTGGGTGTGTTGATATTTGTATACTTTCTTATTCTTGGTGCTTTTTTATCTATTAGATATTTCTCAAACAAAAGTATGACCCCCAAAAAGAAAACCACAAAGAACATCAGAGGCAAGAAGATCAGTTATGAGGCTGTTGCAACTTTCCTGCATTAGGATGTAAAAATAGGACACACTGCAATAGACAGGAGTCAGACACACAAGCTCCTAGTGACATGGGCCTTAGTTGCTATTTGAGTGTAGTTTTGTCCACTCATAGTGCCATAACAAAATATCATAGAGTAGGTATCTTAAACAACAGACATTTCTCTCTCCCCACTCTGGAGGCTGAGCTCAAATCAAGGGGCCTGTCACTGATCAGACTAAATAGGGGCTCACCTGGGTTTGCGGTCAGCTGCCTTCTCACTGCGTCCTCTCAAGGTATGGTAAGCAGGACAGAAAGAGATCTTGCTCTTCCCTTGTTATAAGGACACTAATCTAATTCAGGAGGGTCTCACCTTTATGACCTCATCTAACCATAATTACCCTCCAAATGCTCAAGTTCCAAATGCTATCTATTATGGTTTACATCTAGATGTCCCCCCAAAGCCTCATGTGCTCATAGGTGGAGCCTTTGGGAGCTGATTGGATCACGGGTTGTGATACAAATCACTGGATTAATCTACTCATGAGTTTATAGCTGCGTGTGATTTGGAAGGCAAAGCCTGGTTGAAAGAGGTGGGTCACTGGGTGTGTGGCCTAGAAGGATCTATCTCCTTCCCTCCTCCCTTGATCCTTCTCTCTGCTTTCCTGTGCCATGCCATGGAGTGTTTCTCCTCTGCCATGTCCTTCTGCCATGCCTTGGAAACAGAGACTAGGTGAAGTTTCAACTGCTGTGATGCTACTGGCCACAGAGAGTTCTCATATTGAGTTAGGAATTATGATATGACAACTGAGAGTTTGCCTTAGAGAAATTCCGAAAGGGTTAAGTGTTGAGTAGCACCACTAGGACCCAAGACTTTTGATCTCTAATCTACTGTGTGAATGGATAATGTGCTCTTATGTGTTGTTATTAATGCATCACTTCAAGCAGAAAACCATATAGAACAGGCTCACATGGACATGAGTTAGTACTATCTTAGAACCATATTGTATGACAGATATTGGTGGTAGCTGCATTAGCAAAAGAAGTAAAAACATCAGGGTCAATCTCCAAACTGAACCCCTGTATCCTATTTTGCATGCCAGTCTAGAAGCAACTGAGAAATCCAATGAATCATCTCTTCCTCCTTCCACCCTACTCCTTGCAGACAACTTGCAGGCATCTTCTAGGGAGCAGGCTCTGCCACAAACCCCGACATGCCACAGCTCTCAAATCCCCTGTGCTAATGACTTACGTTATAGACAAAAACCAGCAAAGCAACCCAAAATGTGCTCAGAGAGCTTCTGTGAGTATGGGCTGAGAACTAGGGGAACAACGAAGGAATTTTCTAGAAATAACACCTCCAAGTACATCTTAGATGACTGGAAAGTGGGAAACTCAAAATACAGAATATTTCTACGTAAAGTTAATTACTTTAATTTTGAGCTTATTTGACATAAGAGGCCTCTGACATCTTATAAACAATCTTTGACCAAAATCAAGCATGTGAAACAGCCCAATCTCACTAGCATCTTCTTGAGGCCAAAAGCAGTTTTCTCCTCCCCACTCCTGCCTGGCTCTAGCACACCCTCCTACCTCCTGAGTGGCTGGGAGGTCACCACCCACTGGCAAATAATCACAGCTACACAATCCCATTCAGCAATCTGGACACCACTTGCCAGTCCCATGGTCTCCTCAAATACTTGTCCCAGCACCAGGTAAATTTTGCCCCAAGTATTCTAGAGAACTCCCAGTTACATGCTAAATCTCAGCTGACATGCTCAGAGTAATCACTACCAGTAAGTATGCTAAATCCAGACTGTTTTAGTACCTTAACTCTGCTATGCACTAGCTGTGTGACCTTGGGCAAATTAATCTCTTTGTGCCTTATTTTATCTAAAACATTGGGGGAAAGAACTTTATCCCCTGCAGTGACTGTTGTGAGGTTAGGGCTTAGAGCAAAGCACGCACATAGGAAATTCTAGGGGACTCACTTCCCCCTGACTCCCTTGGGAAGAGTGACAGTGTTTCTCTGTGCTGCCATTTTATCTGGTATTGACCTGAGTTGATGTGACTCTCTTAACAGCTGTCCAACAGCTGTTTACATCATGGTGTCCACTAGACTGTGAGCTCCCTTAGGGCAGCAAGGTCTTGTTATTACCACTGTTATATATTCACCACCTGGCACAGGGCCAGAAACAAGAGAATCAACCAGTTCTGCTCTACTGCTGGTTTTAGGGCCAGGGATATAGCTCAGCAGCATAAGTGCCTGCCTAGCAATTGCAAGGTCCTGAGTTCAATTCTCTGTAACAAAAAAAAAAACACCCAGAAAACAAAAAGCAAAAAAAAAAAAAAAAGTCTATTGCTGGTTTTGAAATGCAAATTTGTTCAAACACAATTGATATGTTAGGAAACCGAGCATAATGTGAATTTCAAGTTTACCTATACATGAATGCATCTTTGAGAAACACAGAAAATGGGGGAGCTGAACTGAAGAGGAAACCCCAGCAGGCACACAACTCAAACACAAACAACCTCAACTCACCACTTGTTACAAGCTATAGACAACCAGATCTGCTGCTAACATCTTTCTACCCAATTACAGATTAACATCCTTCACTGCTTTATAGTATTTCACAAATTGCTTCTAACGCTCACTTGCATGAAGGAAAACTCCAAATCTTTTTCTAGATAAAGTGTCGTACATATATTATAGTACGTATAAGCTTTCTAACCACTTAATGTATGTAAAACAGTTCTGCCACATTCATTAGATTCCTATCTTTTTAAAGTTGTCACTGATAAATTTCTCAGTGTTATGCCCCTGCCCACACACTTTTCCAATAAGCCCTGTGGTTTTGTGTGACTATATCTTGTGATCGATAGGAACTTTCTCTTCATAGACATCTAAAACTGCTAAAACTATAATCGCTGTTAGTTGCAATAGGCTGTTTGGACTAGCTAAAGGCCACAAGTATTTATCCATAGCCAACTGTAAGCCAGACATGGTAATAAGCAGTGAAGGTAGTGTGGAATGCCTGTAACTCCGTCTAGTGGGGAGAAAAACTTCAAGTAGCTTCGATAGAGTAAGACAGATGTTATTGAAAACTAATGCAAGATCTTCTTTTCAGCTTTAAGATCTTTTTATTCTTTTATGTATTCTTTTTAATTTTTTTATTAGTACATATCTCTCATGACCTCAGGGAATTGGCAAAGACCTCCCAGAGGAAGGATTCCTCCCTTCAAGATCTTTCCTCTGCGTGGTTTCCTTCCTCATTTACTGAGCCCCTCGGTGCCGAGCAGAGGCAGGACAGGGAAGAGTTAATGTGGCACAGGCTGAGCGGGAGAAAGGCCCAGAGGGAAGCAGGTGGAACAGCTACATAAAGGGTCCCACGGCACCGGGCAAGATGGAGAGGAGCTGCTAATGCACGGTGCCCAGGATCTTTCCGCAGTCGATTGATTTCTTCCTCATTCAACAGGTATTATACTTGTGCTGGGAAGTCTGTCTACTCATCCCGCCTCCTCCAGCATCAGAGCTGCTTCTTCCTCGTACGCCTGCTACTCTGGGTTGAGTGCCATTTCCTCCGTCTGTCATCGCTCCTCCCTAAAACACCACCCCCGCCACTGCTACCTTTCTGGATCACCAAGAGTGAAAACAAAAGGAGACAAATCAGAAAAGGTTTTTCTTCTCGCTACCATCTCTCTTTCACCCATGCTCCCCAGCCCCAACTTCAACTCACCTGTTCAAGTTTACTGCTTCAACACCAAATTTAGAATGTAAGTACCCCACACTTCCAAACCAACCCAATTTTTTCCTGTCCCTCCGAGCTCCCAGCATCACTCAAGATCCCATCAGCCTCCCATCACCGTTTCTCTCTCTTCCCACTCTGCCTGCTCACCTCTCGCAGGGTCGGTGCACAGAATGTTAATGCTGGGAAACACCTCACTTCATTGTACCCACTCCCCTTCTTGAGCTGAGAAAGCTGAGGCTCAGAGATCCCTCCCAAAGATAAAGTCAAGGGCAGGATACCTTGATCCCCACCCAACTTTGGTTTTCTCCTCCAATACAGAGGCTGAGACTAATGCCACTCAGACCTGAAAAGAAGAGAGTTCATCTCAGCTCTGCTCTCAGCTGGTCTCCAGCTGGAAGGCTCTGGCGTGGCAGCCACTGCAGCAGTCGCCTTCCTCGTTACGTCCTCCTATTGCCATCCCCCACGGCCCCTACAGCCCTTCTGGGATTTTAGGAATGAAGACTTCTCTCATCCTTGCTGGGACTGTGAGCATAATTAGCCATCCCGAACCCACCAAGCAAAGGTTATCCTGGTGACCGGCCTGGCCCTTCGCTACTCCTGTACATACTCCATGGATGGGTGTGTGTCACGGTGACACTCCCCAAGTCTGTCCTGCTGTTCCTCGCTGCTCAGGAATCATGCCCACACGAACCTACAGCTTCACGCCCCACAGGATGGTAGAAACTCCACCGTCCAATTCCACCTTCCTACACCCACCCTTCTTCATACTGACTGGCATTCCAGGGTTAGGGCGTGCCCAGGCCTGGCTGGCACTGATGTTTGGGCCCATGTACCTGCTGGCCCTGCTGGGCAATGGGGCACTTCTCACGGTGGTGCGAGTAGACTCCACACTGCACCAGCCCATGTTTCTACTTCTGGCCACACTGGCAGCCACAGACCTGGGCTTAGCCACATCGATAGGCCCTGCGTTGCTGGCTGTGCTGTGGCTTGGGCCCCGGCCTATACCGTATGCTGCCTGCCTGGTGCAGATGTTCTTCGTGCACGCGCTGACTGCTGTGGAATCTGGTGTGCTTCTGGCCATGGCCTGTGACCGTGCCGTGGCTGTAGGGCGCCCACTGCACTACCCTGTCCTAGTTACCAAGGCCCGTGTGGGCTACGCAGCTTTGGCGCTGGCACTCAAAGCCATAGCCATTGTTGTGCCATTCCCTCTGCTGGTGGCACGATTTGAGCACTTCTGTGCCGAGACCATACGCCATGCCTACTGTGCACACATGGCAGTGGTAGAGCTGGTGGTGGGTAACACACGCGCCAACAACTTGTATGGGCTGGCACTTTCACTGGCCGTGTCAGGTGTGGATATTGTGGGCATCACTGGCTCCTACGGGCTCATTGCCCATGCCGTGCTGCGGCTGCCCACCCGGGAAGCCCGTGCCAAGGCCTTCGGCACATGTACTTCTCACATCTGTGTCATTCTGGCCTTCTATGTGCCTGGTCTCTTCTCCTACCTCACACACCGCTTCGGTCGTCACACTGTCCCAAAGCCTGTGCACGTCCTACTCTCCATCATCTACTTACTGCTGCCTCCAGCCCTCAACCCCCTCATCTACGGTGTCCGCACCAAGCAGATCAGGGAGCGACTCCTGGAAACGCTCACATTCAGAAAAGCCCAGTTCTAATGGACAAGGGGAACAGTGGAGTCTGGAGGGAAGGAGGGGCGGCATCCGGAGGAACACTGGGGTCAGCACTGTGGCTTTCTCTGTACACAACCGCGATGACTAGGCAGGTATTTTCTGTGAAGCTCCGTGTGTCCCACTGGCATCTGTAGACTTTGGCCCAGCCTTGAGGAGGCAGAAGGCAAGGGGCTATGCGTTACCAAGCAAGGAAAACAAGAGAATCAGTTGGGACCAGAAATCAATCAACTGAGGGAAATCTTTCCTTACTCCCACCCCTATCATTTCAACCTAAGCCTGCCTAAGCTCCTCTACAGATCCCAAACTTGGGGACCTGGCCACTGAAGATGCCTGAGCGCTTCTGTGTGATTACAGCCCTTCCTATCCTTGAAGCCAGATGCTGCTGTCAGCCTGTCTTCAGGAAGGGAGCTATACAGGGTTATCCCCTACTTCTGAGAGTCTAGATGTGACTGTGAGTCAATTTGTCCAGAACACTGCTTTTTTTTTGTTTTCAGAACACTGCTTTTTAAGCTATCCCAATGGTCTCTCGTAATCACTATTCCCCCTCCCTAATCCCACTAAGTCTCAAGAATTAACAGCTAGAATCTTTCCCTGGGCCTGTGGCTTCAGGGGTAGGGATTCAAATGAAAAAAAAAACTTTGGTGTCCCAGAAAAAATTATGCTGCCTGGGGTATCACCTGCTTGCCTGGGGTTGTCACAATGACTGCTTGCCAATCTCCTGTGTACCCTCTACCAAGAATGTATCATCCCCAGATGAATTCCCCACTGGCACCCCTATCTACCTTGGTCAGTGTCATGTAAAGCTCATGATGTTGTTGCAATATGATGAAATAGGAATATTTCACACTGCTGCAGCTGCCAGAGGAAAAAGGTATTAAACAGGAAGTGTCATGGTGTTGCCTAACAGAGGACTCACTTTCAGAGAGGACTCCACAGGAAAAGGGACATTGCATAAAAGGTCTTTCATACCAGCACGGTGTTCAAAATCTCTTATGGAAAGTAGGGAGTCACTATTATGCAATCAAAGATGCTGCAAGCTGCACAGGCATATCCCAGCTCTCCAAGAGAACTATCACAATCACAGGTAACCATGAAGACATAGAGCCAGCAGCAACCCAACCAACTGAATTCAGATAGCTGGACCAAGTACCATGGGACACCACCTAGAAGAGGCAGCTGCAGACCTGAAAACGTAGATGATGCCATCTCTGGGACCACATGGAGTCTTCCCAGGTCCTTATCAACAAGAACTGAAGAGACAGCACACACAATCTACATGATTGTTGGGTGTTGCTATACTGAATCCAAGTAGGTAAGAAGAGTATCTAAAAATCAGTGCAATGTGGATTCAGTCATTCTCAAGACTAATTTTTTTTTCCATAAAGTTCTCAGTTTAAAACCCCTCCAAACAATGATTGTGTGAATAACTGACAAAACACTAATCTGAATGGGTAGTAAGTCTTTAAGATACATATATTCTTCACTTAGTGATTCCCTTTTAATAAAAACATATTCTGAAAAAAATAATCGAGATGTGAACAAACATGTATACAGCAAGATCTTTATTACAACATCCTTATAAATATAAAGAAATTCTTGTATGATTATCCCGGGTCACACATACACAGCTTTTGCCTTTTCCTCTGATACATGAAAAGGGAGCTCATGTGAAGCCAATGTTCACAAGCAATGAATTCTGTCACCTTCCCACCACAGGAAGACTCTTCTAAGGCACCTTCATCCCCTGGTTGTGCAGGATTCCCCAGTAGCTGGTTCCAAAGCTGTACGTTGTCCATTGTTAGAATTTTCTTCCTTCACGCCAAAAATCTACTCCCTTGGACCTGGGTACTATGTTCTGGACTGAGATTTCATACATACCTACCACATGATACATTTAGAAAATTGTACTGGCAACTCAGTCTTCATTACAACCTGAGAAGAATTGTTATCCCACACTGCAAGTTTAAAAATCTCTGATGAAATCATTTTTGTTACTTTGCACCTAAAATCATCTGGATCCAACTCTTATGATCCTATTTATAGCCTTTATCTCATTTACTGTAAATATTCATATATTTAACTGAAAATATGTTGATGTATTTGATTACTGGGCACTGCCCTGAATCCCACTGGGGTATTCCTTACTATGTTTTATATTTATATATATATAATTATACTCCCTTTCTATAACTTGAAAATTTAATTCCAAAATATATATGCCTCCAAAAGTTTCAAAGAAAGTATTAAGGACTTGCTTGATTATTCCTGTAGCCTGAGAGAAGTGAAGAGACTTGTTAGGGCTTTTATCCTTCTGAAGCCTTTACTATTTTACACTTTGCTATATTACCCAGGAAGTTTGTGCAGAAAACCTCATGTTCTCTGGATAAACAGCTGCATTTGTTTATTCCTTTTATGCTCTCCAAGTTACCCTCAGATTCCTGCAGATGATCTGTGCCTCTTTCTCTTTTTTTTTTTTTTTTCAGGTACTGGGAATCGAACTGAACTAAATCCCCAGCCCCCCTGTGCCTCTTTCTCAAAGAGAAACCAGAATGTGCCACGGTGGAAACAAATTCAAGCAGCAGGACGTGGCCCAAATCGCCCACCCCTTAGACGCACCAACTGCATCAGGACTCTGCTGTCATCTGTTTTCCTTCAGTAACTTTCAGTCGCAAAATCTAAGAGCCTAAAGGCAGACTTCTTAATGTCAAGGAAGAGCAGTATGGAACTTAGGGAGCCTAGAAATCATGGCAATCAGAAAGCAATTAAAAAAAAAAATAGAAGGTATAGGATTCTTGCTGAGGAGTTCATCATTACCCAGTTGCCTCTCTGAACCCATCTCTGTGAACAAAAATCCCAAAGGATTTTCTGTCTAATGTGACTAACAGTGCACCGTCCCTGCATCTACCTCATTTACCTCTTCTCACTCTGGGTTCCCTTCAGCATCTACATGTCCCTACTGACCGCTCCCTCTTACTGCCTGTGGGCCTCTGTATCTCTACCTCCTTGCACTGTCACTTTTATCCCATGTCGATGTCTTTTGTCCTTGTATCTGTCTCTCTTGCACTTTACTTTTGTCTTCCTCATGCAGAACTCCTTTCTGGAGGGAAGAGGTGCCAACTATATCGCACTAAGTAACTTCTGCTTGTGAACCCAAATGAAAAACATGCTAAAGGGGCACTAAAAGGAGGAACTAGGTTTCACTTGTCATGAGAAACTTGAGGTTTCTGATGTGGTTTGTGGTGGCTTCTCTCTCATCCTGTGCACTTCCTTTTTTTCAGGCACCCCCTACTCTCCATCCAGCATGCACCTTTCCCACCACTACTTAAGCAGAAGGAAAACGATTTCTCCTTTACCAAAAGGAACTACTGTTCAATGGTTAAAGCTGGAATCAAAATTAGGTTTGACTCTCACTCTATTAACTCTCTACAGCTTGGGCTAATTATGTAACTTCTCTGAGTTTTTTCTTCACTTGTAAAATAAATCATAATAATACCTACATCAAGGGGTTCCTAAAAGGATTGGCTAAAATAATGCATCCAGTATATGGCACAGACCCTACCACAGAAGAGCTCAACAAATACTTGATATTAATCCTTCCTGGAAAACAGGACCAACTGACATTTGGCACTCAGAAGACCTTGCCCTCCCCAGAGGCCAGTTGCATCTCCTTTAGGAAATTTTTCTTGACATCACTCTCTCTGCAGAACTGCTGCTCTATCACCCTGCACTCACGCCATGTCAGGCAGTTCAGATGACAGCCGATTTTGTGGGATAGCAGTACATTCTGCACCGAGCCAGGGAAGCTCCCTACACACAAGAGCTCTTCCTGGGCACAAAGGAGGCTCTCTGAGGGCTGAGAGGACTCTCTGGACAGACAGAGTGGGTGAGGAACTCTTAGAAAGGCTCTCTACGTCAACCCAAAAAACCACAAGACTGAAATTTCTGGACAAAACACAAGGGGATATAACAGGAGCTGAAGTAAGACAGAAACTACTAGACAAAAATCAGCCTAGGACAAGGAATTGAGCAGGAACAAAGTTTTTCTCAATTTTACCTCAGTAATTCTGGTTTCCTGAAAATTCTCTTCAGTTACTAAGGCAACATTATCTCAATTAGATTTTTACCCTCCACAGTGTCACTGCTCAGCATGGTGCCCTCCCACACACACACCTGCTTTCCACTGTGCTTATAACCCACCTATTAATAATGGGTTCAACCTAAACTACACAGCAAAATCACCTAAGGAGCTTTTAAAAGTTGTGATGCCCAGGCACATCCCAGAACAATGAAATCAGAATCCTTGGAAGCAGCAGACAGACATAAGTGATTTTTAAAGCTCCCAAGTAATTCCCAGGTGCAGCCAAGGTAAAGAACTACTACTGAGTTCTCCATACAGGTCCTGTTCTATACTTCCATCTCCTTTAGGGTCCCGATTCAACCTCGCAAAGAATTGGTTTACTGATTGGGTTAGAACTGAGGCTAACTGGACAGTAAACTGCTTCAGGGAGGCTACCAGAAGACACCTACTCCTTCCCTAAGGAACACAAGCAAAGAATCACACACACACACACACACACACATACACACACACACACTGCCACCTAACAGATGCCGCATTTTCTTCTCCTAAAGCAGGTGACTCAAGAGTATGAACCACAGGCTGTAATGTAATGACGTTAGAAAAGTTACTGTCCTCACCCTACCCAGGACATCACCTGGCAGGACCTCTATGACCTCACGCTTGCAATAGGTCAGAGCCCGAAGCATAAGGCCTCACCTAACAGGACAGCCTGGGATTCCTGCAACAGCCACTGCTCTGTCCACCATGTTGGTCAGTACCCCCCACCTGCTAACACTGGATGAAGCTGATGCCACTTGGACCCTCATCAAGGATAAGGTCGGTAAAGGAAACAACAATAATGGGTCTGAACAGCTTGTGAGTAGGAAGGGGTGGGAAATCTAAGACAACAGTAACTAACATTTACTCAGTACTTGTTTATGTTAGGCACTGTGGTAAAGTGCTATATGCAAACTGCCCCATTCAATCACAACTACAATTTAAAAAAGAAAAGGCCCCTTAAAGAGCAACATATAGTGAGCTATAAGAGGACAGAGAAGCCATAAATCAGCAACAGGACTTAAAAGAGGTCTGGAAAGCTTCCTGAAGAATGTCATTTAGCAAGGGATGAAAGTGTTACACAAAAAGGGGGAGGAATAGCTGGCATATAGAAGGGACAAAATAAACACTTGAATAAATTAATGAGCAGATGGGTGGGGGAGTGAACAGCATACTAATTAAAGGTAGCATATGCAAAAGCCAGGAGAGGAAAGAGAAAAATGTGTACTTCCAAATTCCCAGTCTTCTAGAGCTGAATTCAAAGAAGTAGTGGTGAAATGAGACCAAAAAAGTATAGAGAAAGATCAAGAAAAGGCCTCTAAACTTACTACAGAACCTGGACTTTACTTTCAACCCCTTTTACAGATACTCCGTCCACCTTAATTCCCACAGGATGAGAAATCTGGATTGCACCCAAATGTGTAATTTCAAAAACCACAGAGATCTCGCCCTTATCTGGTTTGCAGGTGTCTAACAAGTCCCATCAATTTACTTATCAGCTGCAGCACAGATAGCTTCCAATTTCTTGGGTTGGAGACTTTATGGGTCAGGTTCTGGCTATGGCGATCTGAAGGCAAATATACTTAGAGCATTCATAGAAGGTAGCCCACTAAGCTTAAGTAACAATCTTAAGGCGAACTGAAAGCACCCTTTATGACATACAGAGCCCAGTCCTTGGTAAGCTGCTCACCACAAAGGCCAGGGAAGCAGAAAAAGGAGAGCTGAAGTCTTGCTGTTTTTGAGTAACTGGTTCCAGCACTACAGATGGTCCAACCTGGATTAGACCAACCAGAATCGGGGTGAAAGTAAATGTACTTTCCCTCTATGAGAAAACTATCTCTGAATATGAAAAAACTCACTGTACTATTTCAATAGTAAATCAGGGTAGAGATATACAGGGTAAATTACTGGTGATACATGGCAAATTCAAGCAGTAGGCCATCTTTAAATGACCTGGTTTTCTATCACCAAAACTGCTGACAATTTATTGGGCACTTTATAAAGCATTAGGCTAAACAGAATGTGGCTCAAGAACTCCCCGTTCAGAATTACAGTACACTAGGAAGATAATCTTCCACCATCACTCTCCTGGCCACGTGACCCATCTTCTAGAAATGAACTCTAAAGACTCCTCCACAACCCTTACGTGACCAATTTCTACTATTTCTACCACCCAAATCTCTTCACAGTCCTTTCTCCTCCCTCACCTTCATTATTTCAGCTTAAGGACCTAAGCATGTTTTGCCTAGAGTACTGCAATACTCTTAAATGATCAAGCTCTCCTGAAGTATGTCTTCCAATTAAAAATCAGCTTCCTAAAACACTTACCTGATCTTGTCCCTATTGCCCAAAACCCATAAAGTGGCTTCCAAATGACCTCAAGATAATATTCCAGTCACTTATGAAAGACATACAAGGCCTTTCATAATCTAATTCTTGTATGTCTTTCCCTCATACCTAACATTTAAGTAATATGAGGCTATTTTTTCCTAAATGTGCCCCTCGTGGTTGGAAAGTTCAGTTTCTTCACTGGCTATCTACACTGCCGGCAATGACATTTTCTTACTGGTTAATTCCTTCAAAGTACAAGTATAACTATCTAGAAACCTCCTTCTATCAAAGATAAAGGGCATTAAATCACTTCTTGGATTCTTTACACCCTGCTATTATTTTACTTAGCTAACTACTGCTTACATTTTGTCTCCTCAGTTAGACTGGGCTACATTAGGACAAATACAAAGTCTTTTTTCACGTATCCTTAGTATCTAGCACAGTCTGGCACACAGTAGATGTTCAAGGCTTTGCTACAGGAAGAAACTGGGAGATAAGCAGGAAGTATAACCTATAATCCCAGTACATGGGAGGCTGAGGCAGAAGGATCATTAAGAGTTCAAGGCCAGAGCACAGGCTACACAGTGAGTTGAAGGCCAGCCTGAAATACATACCAAGACCCTGTCTCAAAAAAACAAAAAGAAAAGACTAGGTATGTTGTAGAGACATAATTAACAGTGGGGAGATCAATCTATAGTAAACTACTAGTTCACTCCTGACCGTAACACAGTCCCTGACTTACAAACTGGCCACCTACAGGTTATCGAGAAACGCTTTGGATCCAATGTAGTGGCGGTACCTTTCTTGTCAGATGCAGCCTTCTATGATCTACTGGGTGTGCTAGTGAAACAGTCCCGGCCAGCCCATGCCCGCCTGGTTTTGCCAGGTCGGCAGGGCCGAAGGGCACTGGAACCAGTGGGACTACTAACAAATCTCCTAGAACAAGCAGGACCCGAGGGTGCCTTTGCCCACTGCACTCGGGAATACTCACCAAATGGCCGAACAGAGATAACCTATGAAGAGATGCGACTGCTGGACGGGCAGCCCTGCCGGATCCGCCTACATGCAGGTGGCCTGCGCAAGAAGGTTGCTTTCCTGTTGCTGCCACCAGGGCAGGTGAGCCTACAGCAGAATCTCCCCTGGCTCCGAAGCACCCACAGCATCTATGTCATCTACCAGGTCTTCTCTTGCTCCTGGCTGCAGCTGGAGCTGCTGCCTACAGCCAGTGAGCCCCAGCTACTCCGGATACAGCGGTCATTGCCTGTTGCCTTCTCCTGCCTCAAGTTTTCACTGCAGCCCAAGGGTGTTCTGGGACCACAGAAACCTCTGACCAAAGACCCACTACCCCACAGGGCCAAATGGATCAGACCCAACCTTAGCATCACACTGACTCTGGCCCCATCAGCACCTGCTGATACCCCCGAAGCTGCTGATGGGTCCCCATCTGTCCCAGCCCCACCTACACCACCTCCCCAAGAAGGGCCAGAAGGCAGACCCACCAGATTCTCCTACAAGGGCCGAAACCTATTCTGGAGAGGTCCTCAGATGCTGTCAGGTATTGCTAGAGGAAATGATGAGGCGATGGTCGGGACGAAGTGGAGAGGGGAGGGAGTATGGGGAATATAGGCAAGGAATGTGTGGGGCACCCAAGACTGTACACCCCTGGTGAAGGGGATGGCATGAGGGACCTAGGGGAGGGTGAGTCAGAAGTATGACCCTGGTTACGGGGGTGAGGATAGCAGACAGAACCTGAGGGAGGGACTGGGGAATCAGAAAGACTACGGCATGAGTCAAGCTGTGACTATCCCAACCCTGGCAGAGAACTGGCTCTTCGGCCCCCGCAGCCCCCCACCAGGAGCTCAGGGTGGGGGCCCCGGGGACCCAGACCGGCACTCCATGTCCCTGCCCCTGCTGCAGGGTCTGTCCTCAGAGTTCGACAGCGACGAATGAAGTTGACACGCGAGATGGAGGGGGCAAGGCCCCCAAGATCTGGCAAAGGGATACTGGTCCCCAATAAACATCAGCTGCTGTTCCCCAAGCCATTCTGGACCCTCGCTGTTTCCTCCTTCTGTGGTCCAGAGGCAGGGGAAGAGTTCCCACTTCTTTCCCTTGGCTTCAAGTTCTCTCACCCTCTAAGAGCAAAAGATAGCTTGAAACCCTGGCATCAATGTCCTCACCAGAAGAATACTCCTGATAACCTTCCCAGCTATGTGCAACCATTTTGGGGGCCCAGCCCCACAGATAAAGGGTGGGAAAAAAGAATGAGCACAGAATAGAGATTTCCCTTTTATACATATTGCAATAAGTTCTCCATAAAACATTCATCTGAAATAAATTAAAAAGTTCTTTTGCCACTGCCTCCAAACGTAAAAAGGAGCCTGTGCCCTGGCCTCAGCCCAGGTCACGTACGGCCCTGATTGTCAATGGAAGAAAATTAAGGATTGAGGGGCCCAAAGCCTGAGAGGGGAGGGCCAGATCCCTCCTCTGAAGTATCCAGCAAGAAAGGCGAGGTGACAGCATGGGCCTGGGAGATGGCAGCCAACTCCTTGAGAAACTCGGGGAAAATGACTGCGCAGTAGACAGCATTCTTGACTCGCAGAGCCTCACCTTGGCGCTCAGGGGCCCCGCCCTTGGGAATGAGAACTGGAGTCGATGCCCCAGGGGAGCCCCCACCTAGGCCAAGTCCAGCTCCTTCTCGCCCAGGCTGAAGGACCTGTGTCGCCTGCCGGGCCCTTGTTGGACTGTGTGCATGCCGCAGGAGTAACTCCCCCAAGGACGGCCTCCGGCTCTTCACTGGGAATAAACAGGGGTATCAAGAAGGTGCTGGGATCAGGGAACCCGCCTGAGTTTGGGCGAGTAGACACTTCCATCCCCCTAGGTTCCTGGATTCTCTACTAGGGTTCCAAGAGAACAAGAAATAAGCCCCAGGTTCCAGTGACGACCACCCCAAACAGTAGCAAAGGGAGGTGCTCAGCCTCACCCTAACATCAAAACCCTGCCTTCCCAGTCTTTCCCCTCTATCCAGCCTCCCCGCCAGGTACTCATCTTCCTCAGCCCTACCAGCCAACACTTGAGCCTCCTCATTCCCGGTTCTGATTCCTTCCTTCTCCGTGCCCCGCTTATCCTGAGGAATTCTTCTCTCTTCCTAACCATGACTCTACCACTACCAAGACGCTTCTCCTCTGTCTATACCAGGCCCTTTGTCATCAGCTTCCCATTACCTTCCAGAACTAGTCATCCAGTTAACCTTCCCCGCCCTATCTGTAACACCTGACCCAGACACCCTGCTCCTGCAATACAGTGACTGTACGCATTAATTACAGTCCAGGGACCACTTCATTCTTGTCATACTCTACCTGTAGACTATGCTTTCCTGTACCACCACTTCACTGTTCACCAGTCCCTCTCCAATGCAAACCAAAATCTCCCTTTCACGTGTCCTAGGAGGGCAACTCCACACTGACTTAGATTCAAGCCACTTAAAACTCTTTCCACCCTGTACTTTTCTAGTATATTGCTGGGTCTGAACCCATGACCACTAGATAGCCTAGACTCAAGCCTCTAAGACCATCACAGTTTCCATTCCTAGCTCTGATTAGCTACAGAGACACTCCACAGATCTACGAGACAAGGCATTCAGAGCCCTTTACAGCCAAGCTCACCCTCCTCCAACCACCTCTCAAACTCTCCACACCCACCTAGTTTTGCCACCCACATCTGTCTTCTTGGAACCTAACAGGCACTTTACATGCATGGTTCCCTCTGCCTACAGCTTACTCTCCCTACACTTTTCATCCTTTCTGGCATAATTTTACTATCTCAAACTCTCTGGGAAATCTCCCATTGGCACTCCACTAACTTTCAGTTTTACTGTCCTTTTTCAACATACTTTAATAATTTCTTGTCATGTGTTCTACTTGATGAACTAATTTGTAAGCTGAAGATCTTAGACTGTGCCTTCTCTATCTTCATATTGTTGGCACCTCCAGTAATCCCACTGGTAGAACTATAGAAGCAAGAAGCTATCACAATACTAAAGCAGCAGGAAATCATGCTGAGGAAGTTAGCAGGGTCTTCACACTTGAGCACTGACCTTGTGGTACTCTCTTCCTAGCCCACACACTTTTCTCCTTAAACCTCCATTTTATCTCTGTTCTCACTCCCCAGAGTGTCATTTTCCCACCTACTTGGACAAGCAAAAAATGATAGTGAAGCCCTTAACATCCCCTACCACACTTCACAGCTCCATTGGTGTATGTCATTTCCACCTTCACCACTACTCATCTGCCTCAAAGGGTAAAAAAATAACCTGTTCAAGTCCAAAGCTAATCTCCTTCTGGTCTAACTCCCAATATCATTACCACTTTCAAGCCATGCTCCCTCTGTTACTACAGAGGTCACTCTAGATTGTGTGCTCTTGGAAGGCAGAGATCTCATCCTGTACCAATCAAATTCCCTGTACCAAGAACAATGACCAGCACATGTGGCAAGTGCTCAGGTCCTTGTTAAAAATCTAGATTTAAAATTTCATGGTCACTTTGAATTCTCCCCTCTTTCTTATCCACTCACAGCTACTCATCAAATTTTATCAGTACTTCCTTCCCATTTCCACTATTCTAAACGCATGCTTCACTGGTCACATGTGTACGATAAAAGAAGCCTCCAAACTGTTCTTCCTGATTCTCTTTCTCCCAGCTCTAATTCATCTCTGCCAACTTACTCGTCTCTCCACTTGCAGATCTAAGAACCTCCAGTGGTTTCTCATTGACTAAAAGATCACAACCTCTACCCAGTCCAGCTTCCATTCTGAGAAGCGTCTGCTCTAGCCAAATGTTTTCAGCCTTAACATCACTGTTCAGCTAACATTTAAACCGCAGTTCCAACTAGATAGTCCCAGGGTGTTTCCTGACCAAAAAATAAAGACCTCCCATACCTCTGCCTGCGTAAGTCTAACCAGAGCTAATATCATATCCTTTACTAAGCTCTCACAGTTTATCAACCTAGAGACTACTCTGACCCTTGCCTGTCCCTAAATCTTGAATCAGATTTTGCTGGTACTTGACAGAACTATGTCCTAGCCTCTGACCCAAAGCCTGAGAACAAACATTAAGACTCCACTTTTTTATAACTCTCCAGTACCTGGCACAAGGTTTCACCTTTTATAAGAATTCAACTAACCCGAACTAACTGGCTGTCTAGGGAGGGAAGGAGCAGGGTGGTAGAACAGGCCTCACCTAGGGGATCCGAGCGGCGGGGAACAGGTCCTGTTGTAGGACCCTCAGCCCAGTCCAACTTGCCACGGGCAATGAGGTACTTCTTGGCTTTGGATAGCAGTGCTGGGAAGTCCTCCTGGGAGGCCGCAAAGCTCTCAATCTTATTCTTCACAGAGCCCAGCACCTATGAGGCACAACTTCATGACATTTCTGGTGGCTCTAGACTGGTGCAGCCTTTTCTAGTCCCACTGGGCCTATTCCCAGCCCACCCAGGGTCACTCCAGCTGCGGGCCTGGCCCACCATGGAGCCTGGACGCACCCATGCATGCATGCATCGCACACCTGCAGCAGGGACTTGACACTGGGCTGGAAGACCATGTTGGTGTTGAGCAGGAAAGAGCGGAGCAGGGGCTGGGGGTGACAGGCCAGCTGGGCCACCAGCCCCGTCAGCAGGAAGTTGACATAGACGGAGTTCTGCAGCATGTTCTCAAGTTTGGCAAAGAGCACAGCCATGAAGGGGCCTGGGGGGGATGGGCACAAGGATACAAGGCCTGAACACAATGCACATCACACACATTCTTCCCCAAAACAAGTAACCCCCACTAGATGAAAATATTTGTTTGTTAGTCTCTGGGTATGTTGGAATAGCCTATGACCACCTATCCTGGAGAAAGTATGATGGTAAATACCACATGAACTCACAAGTAGCTAGATGCTGGCTTTACACACATTTGAGCTAAAGAGCCAGATCTCAGGCTCCAGAGAATCACAGAGACCTCATTACAGATTTCTACTGTACCCTTTACTAGTTAGGTTACTGGCTAAGGCTCTCCAAGCTTTAGTTTCCTACTTGGAAAAATTAAGAAAATATACCTACCATGTAAGGGAGTTAAGGGGATCAAAGAGCTATCAATGTAAAGTACTAAGTACAAGATCTGGCAAATTTCATGTATTCAATTATAACCATAAGCTATACAATATTTCTCAGTTTTTAAAAAGCTTCATCTAAGAAGCACAACAGAAGAATGACTAGGCAGAGAAAGTGATTAGGACCAAACCATAAAGTCAGGTTACACGTAAGACAGAGTAACACAAAACTTGGTCAAAAAGAATGCAAGGAACTGTAGCAAAAACAAACAAAGGGGTTATATTTAACGTTTATAGTTGGAGGAGAAATCTTTGGAGGACCAGAGAAGACATAGCTTTGTCTTAGAGGAGCTGGAACTAAGAAGATGGAACAGAACAGGCAGCAAAAGAATAATTTAGTTCAGGGACACAGTAAACTGATTCACAGTGGCAGAGAACAGAAGAGAATAGTGTTATCCACTAGAAGAAAGATGTATCACCAGCATTAGGACTCTAGAACCAACTGCCTTTCTGATTAGGAATTTTTTGGAAGAAAGGTCATATATCTCAGACCTGAACTATGAATTGAGACAGGAAAACTGTGAAGGACAAGAGGTGGTAAATCCTGAAAAAAGAGCATAGTACATCTACTTCAGGTGCCCATGACTAGCTTTACCTGAAAAACAACTCTAGTTTAACAGGATCCTAAGATAACCTGTATCTTTATCACTCCATTCCTCTCACTGCCTGAGGGTTTCTTGTAAGAGACATCTCAAAGAGTTCATTTAAATTTACAAAGAAGAAAAAAGAAGCCTCAATTAATACTTTAAGACTGGTAAAACCTCCTAGTTGCACTGAGCAGAAAGAGCTGAGTGGAAGATAAATAAATGAAAAGATGTTTCCCATGATCTGCAAGAAAAGAAAGTTGACTTCAGAGCAGAAGCTGCAATGCTAATCAAGCAGGATTCTAGGCCCTGGAAGGACCTGAACTGATCAAAATGGCAGATAAACTAAACTTAATTAGCCTATGAACAACCACAAGATGCATGGATGGTTCCCCTGGTGAATTTAAATCAGCCATGAACCCGAAAGTAATAATCCTAGTGAAAAGCTACCACTTGTTCAGATATCACAATATATCAGTACTGTAGTGATTTATATCCATCAAAGGCAGAGACAAGAGGCGAACTTAAGGTACGCTTAATCCCAATCCTATGATCTTA